GAGTACTGATTGACCGCTTTCCACTCCGCCCGTCTCTTGTGAGATTATGGCAGAAGCGACTTCCCCGGCAGCAGTCGGTGTTCAGTGAAACTAAACAGCTATCAGTGATAGATTACCAATGAGATCTCTTCCCGACCGAAGTGCCGTTTTGGGAGAATACTGAAGGCCTGTTCCGAGCACAATATTGTATTTCTCAAGCTGACCAAGAACTAATGTTGACAGAAGTGAGGTGTCTTAAGAAATAAAAGGAGCAGATACTCCCGCAGCACTGATACCGGCACTGTATATAAATTATGGCGAACACTAGGGCTTAAAAGGCCTCGCCACCCAGAGATGAAGTTAAGCAATTTGATAAGATAACATGCGGTACGAGTACTGTGTATAAGTAGGGGGAACACACCCACACTCGCCCGCCCCACCGTAACCTGTTCTTTCCCCCACACCTCTTCTTTTAACTTTAGCCCTTATCAATCCTATCCTTGAACACCGTTTACAGTATATTTATACGCTCGAGACGTTTCTGTGCCATTGCGAAGAAAAGAGGAACTAGAAAAACAGAAACCACTGCCGTAAGCGCCCTGCGATGACAGCGAATCCGAGATAATACGGTAGTGCAACTGCAGACAATAGAAACGCTTAGTACCGTACTTTACAGACCTGAGAATGCTAGGTGTTACTGTTCGTTGCTACTCGCCGAAATCAAAAGTCTGTCCCCGACCATTGCCTAGGCACAAATGACCGAATCACACCTTGCTCGCAAAAATCGAAGCTCACCCTCCACAACCTCTCAACATCACCAGCAACCCTGTTCACTAGGGATATTTGATTTATGAGTGATAGCCATCAACACAATTCCCCTGTCATCGCGGCCGCTAGATGGGAGTAATCGCCGGCTATACCTCGTGGACAGACTTTTGATTTTGGCGAGCAGCGTTCCAAATACAGCCACCGAAGTCCTCCGGCTACCCTGTTCCTGTCTCCACCCATATGCAGGGCTCGTGCCCTCGCTGTGGTTGGTTCTTCAGGCCGCCAGTTCTGGTATCGGTACCGGTACGGTACTCTTCAACCACGGCAACCATCGTAGAGGCGGTGTTTGGGAGTGGTGATCCTGAGGGTGCGAGTGATCTGCCCGAAGGTCCCCCCCTCACCGTTTCCCAACGGCTGAGTATTCTCAAGAGGGTAAGGCCAGCGATCCGAGACTTACTATGCATGCAGGCGGCTGATTGCCGGATTGGTCAGACTATTGAGTCCGGCCAGCGTGGGCTGACAGGATGGTTCAAACGGGCCGGTACACTACTTTTTGCAAGCTGTACGAGTACTCGATATACAGTAAGTTCGAGCTGACCACTTAGTTAGCAGCTATGCTGACACACACTACCACTAGTATGGAGCAAAGTTTTGGGTAGATAATACTACTACAACGAAACTTGAAGCAAAACCCTGACACCTTGCTGGGCACCGCAAGAAATTGTCTTTCACACAAATCGCGTTTTCACAGCCTAATACAGGCATGGTACAAGTATGCCCCCCAGGACCCCCCGCACAAATACGCCTGGACCTGGTCTATCTGTTTGGACTTTTCACGATCGTGATTCCCCGCTCGGGGGCTGAAGTGCAGTACTAACCATTCCTCTTGGCCGCTAGTGAAACCTTGCGTTCTGCTAGTATGGCGCTCGAGCACCGAGAAACATTGATGGTGCGGGATTCTACAGGGAGAGCCCGGGATCGGCTCATATAAGGCACCACGCCCAAGCAAAATGATTCTTCCGACATGGGCTTTTACTCCAAATTTAGCGAGGAATCAACATTGTCGGAGAGACGGCCCCTGGACCTGCCCTGCCGAAGAAAGAAAAAAAAAATGGAATTCTGACACCATCCAGAAAATTACCAGTGCTTCAGACTCGCCCTCATATTTGTAGCAGCATAAATGAAAAGGTTGAGATTGGTTCACAACTTACAATCATATCCCCCAGTGTCATGGATCCGATAACATAGCAGGAGATTTCGGTACTCGAATAGATCATAGGCATTGATGCCCGAGGGGACAAAAATGGACTCTTATTGGTGAAAAGGCCATTGACCGAAGCGTTTCGGTCTCTCGGCACGGGCACGGTACTGGTGATTGTATCATACTCATACTCGGGGGTGCGTGAAAGTGATTGGCACTATATAGCTCTATGTGGAAAAAAGTCCTGAGGTAGAGTGACAGAAGGAATCATATCTACAACAAAGAAACCACAGAAGATGAATGGCTCCGTATTATGACTGCGAGATTGCTTAACAGTTAAAGGCACCCCAACGTCATGGAAAGAAATTGCCCAAGAGATGCCGCTTTTCCCTTTATCTCGCATGTCGATTTTCTAAACGATCATTGTGCTTACCGGTACTTGAGTAAGTTCTTGTTTGAGTACTTTAGCGCGTGCACCACAATCTGGCGCCACCTGTGCCACAAAATATCAATCACTTTCACGTACTACCGATAGAATACTCGTACGGTAGGTATCATGCCTACGGTATCTCACTTGGGGTAAAATAAAAAAAAGCGCCGATAGAGACTCTGTCACCCCCAATCTTCCCGAATCTTCAAAGACGCAGAGTTGTCACTTGTCAGCTTTGCCGGCTTGTTATCGCTGCCAGTACGGTACTGTACTCGAGTACAGTACCGGTATCACACTTCTCGTTCAAGCAAGGACACTCAACTCCCGGCCCAATGCCTGTCCACCACCATGCTCGTGCTGACCCAAAGGCGCACTGCAACACCTCCAGATCCAGTGTCTCGGGTCCACCAAGGCTCAAGCTTATGCGCTCTCCATCACATCATATCGGGGGTCTCAGCCATTTGCCCCCCTTTCCCCCATCCCCATTTCCCCTCCTCGACCCTTTTTCATGCCGGTGCCAGATTCAAAGTACCGTACTTGTATGAATCTCTTGCCCCCATCCCTCTACGAGTACTTGGGCACCAAAACTGCCGATAGATGCCTAGCAACAGCCTTATCGCGGGCTTCCGGAGGGTGTGCAGTCCGCACTCGAGGGATCCACAGACTACTTGTATTGCACGAGCGTTGAATGAATGAACCACCTGTTACGAGCACGATCGCCCGGGGGCCTACGATACTCTCCCACGATAGTTCTCGACCAAGCTACCGTATCCTTCCGTTGGCTTCCCATTCTCCGAGTAGAAACCAATAGAATGCGGGAACCTGAAACTCATGTCGAGTTCTTTCGATCGCCATTACCAATCTACGGGAAATACATGGCCCAAGGGCTTGCAAATGTTTACCCGAGCACCCCACGAGAACGGTAGCATAAGCCATGTGTGCGAGCGACCGTGCTCGGTACGGCAAGTGCCTGTAAACGAGTTATGGTAATTAACAAAGCGAACACCAGGCTCCGTACCGTATCGTATATCGTGGTCGTCGACTAACGATAGCTTACTGTACGGGGGGGGGGCGCTTATCATATTTATGTGAAACGAAGCGTTTCGGAAATCGAGCACAATACCGGCAAGGGGTCCGCGCAGAGAAACCTGGATGGTGTTAACACAAGTTAGTAAAAAGTCCTGGCGACCTGGTCCCACCCGGTCGGGGTGTAAAAATCATGAAATTGGACCTGGAATTGAGGGCCCTAAATGCCGGCTCTGGGCGTGTTTTTGTGCCCCATGAGGGGTATGGTTTTGTAGCCGTACCTCTTAGGTATGATTTTGGCAGCAGTGACTTTGGGATACCGGTATTCAGAGAATTGACCACCGAATGGCCCCTCAAAGCGGCCCAGTTTAGGAACGCCATTTTTCGGGGGCTCCATGGGCTGCTGTTGCGAGCGGCAGCATCCGGGAAAACTTCGAGTACTGACGATATGATACCTCCCACCTCGGTCGGACCGCGTAGAGCCCCCTACCAACATTCTCAACGGTTTTGCTGGAGGGATGAATTCTCTCCCTTTGGGTGTGACCCCTCGGCATCCGGTCCGAAGGCTAGGTTTTCGACGACGACCATAGCAGTATTCTACCGTACAAGTACGGCTGTAGTGTGTTTCACGGAACTCTCCCATCCATTCCATCCATTTCCCGCACCGGGCTTGGGCATGTCTCGGAGGGGCAGGTTCTTCCGAGCCGAGACGTCTCGCGTATGAAAAAAATCAAATACTCGAGTGATCCACCATGACCGAACATGTGAGGAAGGAGACCACTGGAGGACTCCCCCAAACATCTTAAGTAGCCTATGCTATATATCATACGCCAGAGTGTATCGGTCTGCCTTAGAGAGGTTCTCCGTACTATAGTATGTATCCTAGTCGGGTGAAGTCCTACAGTCCCATCCTCGAGCAGTTTAGAGCCTGTTTGGCAAAAAAAGGGAGAGAAACCCCCCCTTCTTTCTTCAGAGCTCTGTTTAATTGGCACTTGGCAAGCCAATGAACTCGAGAATTCATAGTATACCTGATTCATCGGAGCGGGAAATCCAGTGTTGCCTCTTTTCCTCCAACAAACACAACACCTCCCTGGCCGACCTCCACACTTGAGATTAGGACCACCCTCATCTCTGTTCGGCGCGTAGCGTTAAACTACGCCTTTATCTTACTAGAGCCTCTCTTTTCCTCAATGCCTTGAAAGAGTCCCACCCCGCCCCCTTCAACCTTTCAAACCATCATCATGGGAGTGTCAGTGAGACTTCCCACTTTAAGCTTGCCACTCCTATTGTTCCGGATTAGGGTTATTGACAATGTGATTATAAAACTCGCTTGCTTTTATATGGGGCTGCAGTCTTAGATAACTTGCCCCTCGGAAAAAGCCCACCACATCCTGTTTTGTCCATTGACTAGTGAATTCCGGGACCATAGCTGATGGGCTCGGCCTGCAACCACCTAGTTTCTCCAATGAGCCTCATATTCTCAAATAAGCATGACCGTACTTTTAGACCCTATGTCATACAGTTTCAAATACGTCATTACAGGTGACTATGATGCGATTGTTCACGCTTTTCACATCCTGAGTGCCATTGCCAGTATATCTTTCAGGGAAAATCTTGGGTTGCTGCAATAGTTCGGCAATTGAACCTCTAGGAACAAGAAATCGACCTAATGATTGCTGAGAGCCAAACGGTTAAGGATGACCTAGTCTACCATCTTACTAGGGTATGGAGAGAGTTGTGAGCCCTACCGGACGAATATGCAAGGTAGAGGATTGGGGGATTGAACGAGCATGAGGGAAAGCCCCCAGAGATACCCATTAATGTCCCTCCTCCATTGAGAGTGGAGATATTCTGCAACATATAGAGGTTCACCTTGGAAAAGCAGATGTAGCGAGCCAAGAAGTGGTTGGGTGGCCTTTACTCGTATTGTTTCACGGAAGGGTTGCTTGAGCTCTGTGGGGACGCCAGTCTACAGGGCATGGGACTTAACCTGTACTAGTGTAACACTGTGGCTGGGTTGACCTTAGTACTATGCTTAGTTCGTAGGCTCCATGGTAGCCATTTACCTACATTGGGAACATCTATGCTCAGCTGCAGTACCTTCTGCATCTGGACAGAGCCCTTCAATGAACCGAGCGAGCACCAGTCTTATTTAAGTGGCTTGTCTAGGAAGCAGCACTAACCTCGGAGATCCCCCAGGCAGAAGAGCCCTTTGGACAGGTTATGGCAGAAAAGGTTTCTGATTGATACGTTGCGCATCAGCAGGAGTCAGGGGTCTGAGATCAGGCTCCGATAGCTCTGATGCGGATTCATAGGAGAGGGCGCCGTCTGAGCCCTGCCCAGGAGGGACCGCCGAGGCTGAGCAAGAGCGTGAGGGTAGCAGATTGGAGCTTCTTAGGGCCCCTGCCCCCGGATCCCTGGGAACGGTGGAAAGATATCAGGGGAGCAGAATGGCAATATAGGCATCCGAGAGAGATCCCGGGGGTGGAAAAGCATAGGTATCAGGTTGGGGAAGTGCTAACCTGCTCTCTTTTCTTTTTTTTCTCCTTCCTTGTAGGTGGAATTTGCGCTTGTCGTTTGTTGCAGAGGGCACAACATCTTGAAGTCTGCTATTCCCTTGTCTGCGTGTTCTATCGTCTGCTTTCTTGTAGCGTAGCTTCTACCTTGCTAGCACCGCTCGGCTCCGCAGAACTGTAAAGTAAATTCAAGTAATATCAAGTATTTGATCTGGTGCAGGCTTCTTGCAACCTGCCTATGTCATGCGTAGTGGGAAGCACGAGTTCTGGGAGAATGGGGGAGTTTGTTCAAAGGGATCACAAAAAAAAAATCTCGAAGCACCCAAGGAGCCAATTCAGGATTTCCGTTTTCGGGTCCCATCATTTCGTAGCACTCGGTGTGGACAATGACATCCAGGCGAGTGGGATTTAAATGGCCACGCCAAGGTAAACCCGAGCGCCCGTATCACACTTGTCGCTACCCATTCCCCACACACTCAGCCAGGGCTCTAACTTAGTATGTCCGACACAGCTCGGCAGCCCGCTTTTGGAAATTTCAAGAGTAACCGGGCCCGTCATATCGAGAGAACTAGCTCCCCGAATTCATTTTTAGTTATTAGGATGGTGGCGTTCGAAGCGGTGCTGGAGTATATACACCTGTATTCGCGGGGCACATTTGTGCATTATATATACTCGGTTCGCGGCGTACCGAGAACTTCGACCCTCTCTATAATATATGATAGCAAACCTCTACGAGTGCCGGGACTGCAACTGTACTGGTAATATGATACTCGTACCCCCCCGGCTCCGAAAGCATCCGGAGATCTGCCTGCCAGGACGCCTCGGAAAATCGCATCTGGGGTTGTATAGGAGGGGCCTTGGTATGATGCAGTAGCCGCAGTTCCCTCTCCGAATACTAGGTACGAGTACAGTACTGTATGTTTGGAACCGGCGAGTATCGGTTGGGATAACTCCGTCCCGTTTTTTGCAAACTGCAGGTATAATACGGTAGGTGAGCCGGTATTCCAAATTCTGTTATCATAACCTGCCGAACTTTTTTTTTTTTTAAAAAAAAAAACTACAAGTTAGTAGGGATAACTCTCTCTCTCTCTCTCTCTGGCGGCCATAGATGACTTAGTAAGATTTTCACAGAGATTATAAATTTACTCGTACGGGTGCTCGAGTAACCTGGGCCTAAAGATCTTTGTAGATTATGGTACATTGCCGCATGGCACATCGTTGCAATCACCAAGATAAGGGTCTAGCCACCGTACTGTAGAGTGGTACTCGAGTTTGTATGATACAAGGTGTGGAAAGAAGTTATGGAACAGTTATTTGAGGTTAACCAGCCAAATACATCCTTGTCTGTTCCGGTTAATTAGTTCCTACCCTTGTACTCGTTAATCACCGTTTCTAGGGATCCCACAACCGATCGGTATTAGTCTGACCAGGTCACCCCAGCCATACCATTAATTAACCGAGCAACCGGGTGTCGACACAATTTAACTGGCGCCTAGTTGGAAAAGAGAGATTGGCCTGGTCGGGGGTGAACTGTTTTCAAAAAAAAGGGAAAAGGAGCATGATATAATACGGACTAAATCTATCGGGTGCACAGGTCGCGAATGGCTATGAGGGTTGGTATACGAGTACTCCTGGATTACCGTACACCGGTATCACAGCTTTCAATGATGACCCCGGGATCCGGTTCTCTCTATTATATTATATAGTTCTAGTTCGGGCTCACGAAGGAGGACAGGAACCACGCACGGCGCACGACCACGGGAAGCAAGTTGGTAAAGGGTCAAGGGAAGTCTCAAAAATTACTGACACTCCTGAGAGTGGGCTTCCCTATGGGGTGCTGTAATTTTTGTTAAATTCCCGGACTCATCCGCTATCATCCCACAAACACATGTGATAACCGGAAGACCCCATGGCATACCGGCACAACCTAAGGTCCGGCCTTACCCCCCCGCGAAAAAAAACCGAAACCGAACAAATGATCTAAAATCACAGAAAACCGCCTCATTAGTTGAAAGCAAACAAAACCTGGCTTGTATGATGGTCCGAGGGAATTATCATACATGGGGGGGATGATGATAGGTTACGTGCTAAAGTGGGCAGGACCATACCATTTTTCCCTACAAATACTTCCCGAGTGGTAGGTCTCCGTACCTCTTGATCTGCCGATATGATGCCGGCACCGTAGAGAGAGATCTCTGAATTGAAGAGCCCCCCGCATGTCCCTCTTCCTCGAAAGAGGTTCGTTGGTTGGGCTAATGTCGGGATAGAGACTACTGTACTGTTACGTCAATCCGTATCGCTTCACATCACTTGAAAGGCAGCTGGTACAAGTACTCGAGTACTGTACACTTCCGTAGATCCTGCGTCTGGGGCATTCCTCACCAAGTAATCCGCGAATACGGTTGCCGCCCCCTAATCTCACGCAATTTTTATCCCCGGGAATTCCATCGGAGCCCTTATCCCCAACCTACCGGTATCATAACCTCCCGGGTGACCACACCATCACGAACGATCACTCGGTACCTGTACTTTCTTTTTCTAAGGGATAGACGCCCGCTAGCGGTGAGGTGGGAAAAATCGATTGATCACTCGTCACGAAGCCGCGTATTTGTAGATATATATACGCACGACAAAAGCCTGGCTGTTTGAAGGGGCAAGGACTGCCGGGGCGTTACGTACACCCCGTGGATCCGGTTACACGGGGACAGGAGAGGACAGATGTTACATACCGTACGGTACTCAGCCCCTACGCACAAGTACTCGTACCGTAGCTGTACCGTACGGGTACCGGTCCAGGAGTGGGTATGATGGTTTTGTTTCTGGAGGCCACATGTCATGAAGCACCATTCGGTATCGCGGGCGTGGGGTAAAGTATGATATGTGATGGAAGGTCCGGTTTAGGTGCCTTGTTTGATTGCGGATGCTCCACGTTGGGTTGGCCTGTGTATCGTATGGTGCACCCGGTCCTTGAATAGATGGGTAAGCTCCCGGCTTGTACAGTAGGTGGTGCGTCTTAGCTTACGGCACTGACTGTATCGTACTGTACCTGTACCGCACTTTGTACTGCGCCCGATGATGTGTGCGGTATTCAGGAAAGTTTGTCCCGTCGTATCATATCGTACGGCATTCTACGGTATGCAGGGTTGTTTCTCTCATGCCGGGCGGTCGTCACGGATGCCCTGGTACTCGGAGAGGGTTGCTGTTGCATACCAGCCGCCATCCAAGCCGTTTTTTTTTTTGGCGGCATGCAGCAGCAGTCCTTTTAAATAAATAAATAAATAATAATAATTCAGCATTATGAACGGATATTGCGATGCGGGGCGTGTTCATTTACTGGGGCGCCCATCGAGGAGGCCTTCCGTTGAAACTGGAGGTATTGAACCACCGCCATCATGCCACTATCAGGGCGCCGTCGAGGGAGGCAAGCGTGCTTATCCGTCACTATCTTGTTTTATGCAAAACCGTTCATTTTCTCCCGAAACAGGTCAAGTCAGCCGTCAGTACAATTTGAAATTCCCCTACGTAGGCTCTGCTTTGTTGCTCCCTCTGTTACGGTATCATACTCGGAGAGTACGGTGATAATGTGAGGCTGTCGATAATATCTCAGAACGCGCACCGACTGATAGAAACCAATGGAACCCATCCATCCATCACCACAAGGGAGGGAAGGAAAAGAAAGGAAGAAAAAAAAAAAGGAGATTTATGCGGTATGCACCCTCAATGCGCAGCATCAAGCCCGGCCGGAGGGGCCTATCATGTTATGTGGGGTGGACCCTGGAGCTTTTTTCCTCTCGCTTTTAGATAGGGCAATCTAAGCGCGCAGCGGTGCAGGGCATGTAACGCAGCTCTAGGGATAAATATGATACAGCGTTATCCAGAGCACGAGTGCGGCCGGCTGCCGATAGATATAATCGTCACGTGGCCTAAAGCAGCGAGTTGCGACGAGAACGTCCGCCGAATGTGGAGCAGCGTGGCTGATTGATTGACGGGCGCTCGTTGCTGTTGCTTATCGGATTTATGTGACGGTCATGTCTGTCGGCCGCACTCGTGGAAGATCAGAGGCATGCGTCGGGAGGACTGGTAAGGCATGTATGATGCTATGGAGTGATGATTGCACCTTTTATTGTGCCGGGTGCGGTGGTGAGTTTGATTCTTCTGTTGGCTGGTTTGTGAGAGGGTGGAGGAACTTCCGCGAAGGGGTGTGAGGGATTGAGTGCGAGTCGCCAAGGGTAGGGAGTATCATACGAGTAACTTTACAAGTGAATTTAGGTTTAAGGTATTGCGGTGTGGTGGAGTCCGATACCGGTGTCGTACGTTGCTCAGGCAAGGTGCCGAGAGAGGCAGGGAGCGCTGTTTTCGATAAGGGCTTTGGGAAATCGGCCTCTCTGAATACATGATCAATGCTGCGGTAGCCGCTAGCACGGGAGGGGCCCTTTCGTTGTGGGGGGAGTATTATAGATGTCTTATCTCTCGCGGTGTTTATCCCCCAGGGGAGGTACCTGTACTGTGCCAGATGGATAGGCTTGTTCGGGTCGCATCTTCTCTGGACTGATGAACCCTCCTGTCTCGGGCACCGCATTGGTCCGGGTTCTTGGGGTCCCCTCAGCCGTTGCTTCATCTGCGGTTGCATGCTGGGTTGGCAGTCGTGATCGCTCTGGGCAAAATTGCGGGGCACGCGACCGAGAAGACTTGGAAACCAAACAATCCTCCACTGAGCTAATGCCGAACGCTGATTGGGCTCACAACGGATGGAGAGGTTGGAGGGGAGCCTTCTACGAGTACCTCATCAATGCGTTTCATTCACTTTCGTCTTTATTTATGTCTGAGAGAACGCATGCCGGCCGGTATGAGACTCATGAGATGTAGGACACAAGTACCGGTATTCGTACCTGGTGTATCACAAATATACAGTGCTGTGCTAGCCATTGTACGGTACTCGTACGGTGCACACAATCAATTATTCTTATCCCTGCCATCACATTCGTCGACAGCGCTCCCCCTTGTACGAAGGACCACACCTTTTTCCTCGTACCGCCACCCAATTCACTGCCCCCCCCCCAGGATAACTGTCAATCTCCTGGCTGAGCTGTCATCGCCCATTTTATTTATTCATTCCCACCCGACAACCCCCCGGAGAGGAACCAAGGGGAGAGAATACTCTTCGGAGAGAGAGAAAAAGGGACAGCTTCAGCCGTTTGAACCTTGGATCCTACAAATCTTCTCGATCCACGGCCTTTTCTGTTTCCATGCATTACAACGTCCACTTTCTCGCTCCGGCGGTTGCCTTGGTGGGACTGGTGATCCAGTGCGGGACGAACGCGGCCATAATTCCCGACTCGCTGGGTCGCCGAGTCATCGCTGAGCCGAGGAGTGCTCACACTGTTCAGGAATTCCCAGACCCGGGTGGCTCAGCTCCCGAACCGGCTCGGTGGTCCACCCGGATTCGAGATAGTATTGTCGGCCAGTTGTTCGGGAGGGCCGACCGGCACGGAAGGCGGAGGGAGAATCAAAGATACTTGTCCGACACGGCGAAGGTTGTCTCGCAGTATGCTGGCGATGTGGTGTTGCGTTTCACCCTCAAGACACCCGAGGAGGTGAAAGCTCTAGCCGAAGCTTCGAACATCTTGCTTTTGGACGTTTGGTCGACAACCAAGACCCACGCTGATATTAGGATAGCGGAGGCGGATGTATGTCTTGCCTTGCTTCCCATCCCATTGCTGGGGGGCTAGTTGTTAACCGTGATGCTTAGATCCCACCCCTGTTGGACCTTTTGCCCGCTTCATTACAGCATTCGCATGCCCGCTTGATGCACGACTTGAGCCAGACTGCTCGAGATACTTATCCTGGGGAATCACCCGGCGGCCGTTACCATGGCCGGACACCCGACGGAGTCCAAAACCTCTTCTTCCAAGATTACCAACCGCTTGATGTGATTCAGGCATGGATGAATCTCCTTAGATCCCTCTTTCCTAGTCTTGTGGAAATCGTGAGCATTGGGAAGAGTTATGAGGGGCGCGATATCCAAGCAATCCGTGTGGGGAAGCGGGGAGGGGATGGAGGGAGGAAAACCATTATTGTGACCGGAGCGGTTCATGCAAGGGAATGGATCAGCGTTTCGACAGTATCCTATTTGGCATACTCTCTTATCACTGGATACAAAAGGAGTAATGATCGCTCGTTGGATACCATAGTTGATGAATTTGACTGGTATTTCATTCCGACTCTCAACGTTGATGGCTACGTGTATACATGGGAGGGCGATAGGCTTTGGAGGAAGAATAGGCAGCCGACCACCTTGGCTTTCTGCAAAGGAATTGATCTGGACAGAGCATACAACTTCCATTTCGACGGGTCGTCCCAATCACAATCGAACCCTTGCAGCGACAGTATGTATAACCCTGCAAAAGTTGTGTAACCCCTATCGCGAGTCAGTTCTAATGAGGGCATAGTGTTCCCGGGAACTTCCCCCTTCGAAGCAACAGAAGCAAAGGTGTTTTCGGATTGGACGTACAATATGACCAGGGAGGGGGCCAAGATAGTGGGACTACTCGACTTCCATTCTTACTCGCAACAGAGTACGACGACATTGCCGGTTTGGTTTAGGATATATGCTAACATTTTGCCAGTTCTCTACCCATACTCATACTCCTGCAACAGTATGCCCCCAGATCTCGAGAACCTCGAAGAACTAGGAATCGGCCTGGCTAAAGCCATTCGATTGGTTTCTGGTGAACATTATGAGGTGACATCGGCCTGCGAGGGCACCGGGTTCGCCAAGTACCAGGGCACGACCGGCGGCGGGAGCATGATGGACTTTTTCTACGCTGAGGATCGTATCCCCTACTCGTACCAGATCAAATTGAGGGATACGGGTAGCTACGGGTTCTTGCTGCCCAAAGACCATATCATTCCCGCTGGCGAGGAGAGCATGAATTTATTGAAGTATTTCGGGATGTTCATTCTCGATGATGGATCTCCAGTACAGCGGCATAGCGGGTTGAAGAAGAAGAAGTGAAGTATTTCCTTGTGTCCTGTTCCGTTGGGAAAAAAGATTGATTCGAACGAATTGGGGTGGGTTAGTCTCTTTCTTCTTGTTTACTCCTTTTGGTGTTTCGTGATCACGGCTCGCGACACGTTTCGGGTGGAGACAAGCAAATGGCGAGTTGGTCCGTGCGGGTAGGCTGGGTATTCGATTTTTCCTTCGGTGTTTTGGGGTGGGCATAGTTTGCTTTGCGTGTACACGGGTTGGGCATGGCCACAAAAATTGGCATGTATCTGGCATGGCATGGGGTGGGATGGATGGCAGGAAAAGCAAGCCTCAAAAAGTGTCCTTGGGGGGCTTGACTTCTTGTATATTCCGAGGAGCCGTTGTCTCTTTTCGCTGTTTGTCTTTACCGTCTTTTTTCCTCTTTTTGGATATCACTTTAATGAGCACAAAATGTTGTAATAATGAGTAAAACGGACAGACCACTTCATCCCATCCCATCTCTGCCATCAGGGCTTCTGATACAACTCGAACCGAAACTTCACCCCATTCTCCTCCCTAACCCCTTCGGGCACCTCCTCCCCGACAAAAGCGCAGAGCTCCTCGTGCCCCCTCCGTACCCACCCGGTCTTTTCCTCATCCCTGACGTCCACCGGAAAGAATCTATCACAGTCAAACTCCCCCTCAACATTGGTCAACAGCACATTCCTGGTCCCCTCGTCCTCCATGGCGAGCCTGTATATCTCCGCACCGCCAATCACGAATATCCTGCCACTGTCACCGCCCGCGGCAGCGATCGCGTCGGGGAAGGAGGTGACCCAAGTGCTCACGTCATCGAGAGAATCCGGCCGCGGGGAGCGCGAGATGATGATGTTGCGGCGCGATGGCAGCGGGCGGGATCTCGGCGGAATGGAGAAGTAGGTTTTCCGGCCCATGATCACGGTGTTTAACATCGGGTTCGTGGGAGGGGAAGGGGATGGTGGTGGACGTTTTGTGACGCGGGAGAAGTAGGAGAGGTCGGTCGGGAGATGCCATGGTAGTGTGCCGGATTTTCCGATTCCTAGGGAATGGGATGCTGCAACGATAATTGTTAGATTCAGGTTTGGGATTGCCATTTTGGTGGTGGTGGCGGTGGTGGTGATAGTGGCGGGATGATACTGGTAGTTTAGAGGAGGGATGTGTTTGCGGTTGTGGTTGTTGTGGGTGGCGGGGTAGTAAGGGTTCTGAAACAAACTATTTTTCTTCTTCTTCTTTTCTTTCTAAGTTAAGGTTGGCCTAGCGGTAGTGGCATGCAGCCCTACGATGTGCGGGAGGCGATGTGCAACAACGTTTTGTGGGGGAAAAGAAGCTACTGTACGTACCGTCGCCAGGCGCCTTACCGCCATACTAAACTCTATGTAGATCGCTGCTCGCATTCTATTGGTACTGTGACTTGCAGTAGCCGTAAATGGTCTTCTTCACCGCGCAGTATTCGTTAGTCTATCCCGTGTCGATGTCACACCGGTGGTTGGCGCATGGTTGCCAACCTACTATTCAATTGTCTACCGGTATGATACGATACTCTTCTGTACAGCGCCGACACCGCGACGAAGATTGCTTAAATCAACGATTTGGGCATCACAATATGATATCATCCACCTGTTGTCGTACCGGCAGTGGCAAAATGTGGAGGACCTACTAACATAACCTGCCAGATGTTTCCGTATCTGAAGTTTGAACAGTAATTTAACGCTCCAAGTGCAGTACCGTACCTATTCGGCTCAAACAATTCTTGGGGGAGGGAGGGAGGGAGTGTTTATCCGCCCAGCCATCTATGCCATGCTTTTTTCATGCCTAGAACTTGGTTAGTCTCTGTGATAAGAATTCTGTTCAAATTTGGCGTACGAATGAAGTGGCTATAGTTTTGGACCCCGGGCTTGTAGAGTATCGTCCCCCCCCCCTCCCCAGAAACCACGAAGGGGCCCCAAACCGAAAACATCCGGAGAGGGAAAGGTAACAAGAATGCTTATCGTCCCTTGAATCCCTTCCCAGATTTTTTTATTTTTGGTGGATATATATATATATATATATATATATCCATCGCCTTCAGCCACACGATGGGGAAAAGTGTGCCTCCCAGTGGGATAAGTATTTGTTCCCAAGTTATCATTTCATGAAACACCTAGCTGGCGTAGTGGTTAAGATGTCGCAGTACACATTAACTTCCTATCGCACTTAGCAGGAGCCCAGGAGTTCAATTCACGCTCGCATTGAGTTATTGTTGGACGATCCGTCATGTGGGGTAGGAGGGTTCTTAGACCCCTGCCCTACGGGAACTGGGAGATTTGGTGAGCTCCGCCTTCCTCAATAAGGCTGTTGGGCTTTCCACTGCTGCTGTGAGGTGGTAGTTTCCGACTCTAGACCCACACCCAAGGGCCCCGGGTGATGGGTTGGCGATCGGCGGCGCGGCAGTTCTTTTTGACTTTTTTTTTTCTTTTGCTCGTAAAGGTATTTCTTTCTGGAATGATGGGTATTGATGGGGGTATATTGTAGTAGCTAGATGAAGATATAAAAACCGATGGTTACCAGAATGGATGGCGGAGAGCTTGGGTACCCGCCGGTATCTGTCTGAAGTGGGTTTTTTTTTTTGAGAAGGAAGAGGTAAGGCAGGCTTTATATCGCTCCGCCGAAGGAGGGAGAGAGAAGGAATGAAAGATATTTCGTTCCCGATTAAAATTCTTTGGGCTCTCCCCACACAGCATTACACTATCGCGAAAAGGTATATGTCAAATTGGCAAGCATCATGCTGAAATCCAGGTCCCTCAATTGGGGTCACCGATCAGTTGCATATATGGTCACTCGTAGTATTGCATTGCTCACTTATTGTTATACCCACCCGTAAGAACCTTCCTATAAAATGCCACACAATCTCGCTCTGGGACGGAAGTCACCAACAGGTCAACATACTGACTAGAGAATGCAATCCCGTGCTGCAATTAGTTGTTATTACACGGACATTAAACCCGCGATTCAAGCTAGGTAAAAGATATCACAGGATAACAAACTCTAGAGAGTGTGTGCCCAGGTTCGGCATCCACAAAAAAATGACACAAGAAATTACACACCTGCTGGGTAATGTACCAGCCCCGGCAAATATTCCTGAGGATGTACTCTCAACAGAATTATAGCATGTAGTCGCCCGGTGATGGCAGTCTCGTAAACACCTGGTCCGGGCTGGTCGGGGAGGTATACATATATATGACAGCCCCCACGCCCAGTACCGCGGATCACGAAAACGTAGGAAAAAGGATATGGAGTAGATAAATAGATACAGCCGAGAAGCTCGAAATCTTGGCTCGAGATTTGGCCCTAGCTGTCCAAAGTTCAATTGGTAAGGAAAAGACGGGAGGAGGAAAACAAGAAGGGGAAGAAGGACATGGAGATCTTCGGGACTTGCTATGTATTATACTTGGATCCTAGAGATGCCGGTAAGGAAAAGGGTGGAAGATTTATAACTCTAATTTTTATTTTTTTATTACCATGCTCCGGAAGCCGTTTGAACACACACCTTCGGTATGATGGCATAACCAAGAGAGGGGAGATCCCGGTACTCCCGAAAGGTTTGCTGGGGTCGTGAGAGGCAGAGGATTGAGAAACCGAGTTGGGTGCTAAAGAGGAATTACAATTAATTAGAGTGGGGACGGGGGTGGTAGTCAGATATCCCGTAAACATACATCGCCCCGACCTGGTTTTTTCTTCAGGTTAAGGAGGCTATCGCAGGTGGAAAGTCGATGTGTTTACAAAGGGATTTGGAGAATTGTATTTATCACACATTTAATGCTTAGAACGTATTCTGTCATACACCCAGGTTCTTGGTACAGCTCCACCTGGGGCTGGATTTTGCGAGTGACACGCTGTGCCGAGCGATTTCTACGATAGCAGAATCGGGTTTGAGGTTTGCATTGGAGATCCCGAGCAGCCCGAGGCTATTCTCCAATGAGGGGAGCACTAGTCTATACTCGGAAGGGTGGAACCAGGCGGCGTTCCGAGATACGTATGGATTGATGCGGTGGTGCTACAAAGCTCCCCCCCCCCCCGATGAATGACGGGGTCAGGCACTGATGAGATGGGTAGACGGCAACAATAGCACTGGTCAGGATTGCTTCACGGGTGCTAGATGAACACTACTAAGAAAAAACAATTTTTCTAGGAGTTGGGGTAGAATGATTTAATGATAGTGGAGCACAATTGCAGCATGTAAGCCTGATGCAGAACAGAAAGGGGAAGGGGAGAGGGGGCGAGGATAATACAGTCATACGGGTTAATTTTGATAGGTGGGGCCGTTTCAAACTGGTATGATAACCCCCATTCAATCCACCGCCCATCTTAGCCAAATACTCCCCCAAAATCTCGCCAATCAACGGTGCATACGTTTCCATCAACCCCCTCAACATCCTCATTCCCACAATAGCACAACACTCACGCCCCGCGACCGAAATCAACCCTCTCACCCCCAAGAAGCAGCCGAACAGCCCCCCTCCTCCTATGATCAATCAAAGCAAACAGTGCCGTCTGCCTCTCCACCGAGGAGAGACGAGCATTGACATCCACCCTTCATGCCCCAGAAACCACCTCGGAATCCCCTAATTCCATCTCAGGGTTGCCCTGCGCAACAGCATGTATCCACCCATGTCTACCGCGTTGACTTCTATATCCTTGAGCGAAAGGGGCAGTTTCCCCATCTGTACTCCCTCCTTTTACACCGCGATACGCAGCGGAATACATTGGAGGTTTGTCTTGAGGTTCGCCTCGGCTCCCAGGCCCCTCAACAGCGGTCTCACAGCTTCGACCCGGCCCAGGTGGGAGATGGGGGCCAGAGGCGTCCTACTACCAAGCATGTCTACTCCCCACTACAAGAGCGAGTAGATTGAGGTCCCAGGTTCGGTGAGGATTTTTTTCTTTGGGGATTTCGATGGTTCCGTGATGGGCTTTTAACTCACCCAGGAGACGCTAAACCTTGGGGATTATCGCGAAGGGAGAGGCCGGCGCAGAGGGCGAGACGGTGTATAGGAGCGATGTCAAGGGAAGGTAGTAGAAGTGACAGAGGGGCCGTAGGCAGGAATGGGTTGGTGGTGGCTGCTTGCAGGAAGGTTCCATTCGGGGGGCTAATAGGGGCACTCTTGGGCGACCTCGGTGGGGTGAGGAAGATGGGGGCAGGAGCACCGGAGGCATATTTCCCGGGCCCGATGGGCGCTGGCAGTGAGCAGAGAGGTGTGAAGGAGAAGAGCCTTCCTCTCCCCAGTACAGGCATTATCCAGGTCGATATTAACACCGGAACTTAAATCTGGATCAACGGCTACTGCCCACTCTCCACCCCCCTATATTTAGACTGATGGTGATAAAGTGACCGACTAGGATAGTATCTTAAAGTGCTCGCAACGTACCGGTACTTCTATCCGTCCTATGCAGGTAAGCCGCCTCTCGACCTTGGGGAGGCAAGTGATAACCTGGACTACGGTAATCCGAAGCGTCAACGCGCCGACGCGAGAAATGTGAACCCCCAATACTCCGGAATCGGAAAAAGAAATAGCCTTCATACCGCCGGTATGCAATGGCGATGTCAAAGTCTTAGCTTCGCTCTTTCCCAAAAGACAAAGGGTGCAATCGGTTCATAGAATCTCACTCGTCATTCTCTATCAGCTCCAGGATCTATTCCGATATCCCGGGCATGATAATTTGGGCTGTTGAGCACTTGGCTAGCTTTATGGACAAACTAGACGGCTGGCCAAATATTTGACGGACGGACAAGAAATGCATGGGCAACTCAAAGAAACCACCTTCACATAATCACGTGCTTGTGGCTAACCACAGCACCGCCAAGACCCTTTTGGTTCCCAGACCCCTGGCGCCAGGATGAAATGAGCACTGATCGTTGGGGAACAAGCACAAGCTACCAGAACCTAAGGTAAGGTTACAAGTACTATGTACCAGTATGGTATCATCTCCCCGACCAGCCTGGGCAGTGCCAGTATTAATGCCAGCAACCCCAATCTGCAAATGCCATAATAGCCACTGCACTCCGTAACCTTTCTTCACTTTGCTTGCGCCTTATCCCCTCCTTTCCTCACTAACATCATACCACCGTACCGCCATCCCAGGAAACAAACCCTAGCGGAACAGAACATCACCAGCAAGAAAGCAGAATGTCGACAGCCTCCACCTCCGCGGATCGGCGTCCATTCCCACTCCGCCGCACCTCCTCTACCGCCTCCTCGTGGTCACGTTCATCCTCACGCTCACCCTCCCCGCCAGCCTCCTCATCTCGAGGAAGAACTTACACACCCAAACCCTTCGACATCCCGGTCTACTTCTACCCCTCAGGCATCTACTCCCTCTCCGCAATCGCAATCCGGGCATTCCTCCTGGGCACCACCTTCGCCTCCTCCTTCCTGCTCGCGTACCTCCTCCGAAGCACGTACCCGCAACTCCCACTCTTCGTCACCGCCCTCTCACTCTTCCACTTCCTAGAGTTCTGGACCACGGCAGAGTATAATACGCGGAAAGCAAAGGTTAGCTCGTACCTGCTTACGAACAATGGCATGGCGTACAACCTGGCGCATACGGCGGCGTTTACGGAAGGGCTCCTGGAGTGGTTGGTTTGGGGGAGGGGGGAGGGGTGGAAGGGAGAATGGGCGAGTGGGAGGTTGTGGATTGTGGGTGTGGTATTGATTCTGGGCGGGCAGGTTGCCAGGAGCCTTGCTATGGTCCATGCCGGGACGAACTTTAGCCATCTCGTGGCGTACAGGAAGGAGGAGGGCCATGTTTTGGTCAAGAGTGGGATTTTCAGGTTTGTTCTTATAGTTCTTCCTTTTTTTTCTTTTTTCCTTTTTTCCCTATGCTGATGGGAACAGGTATCTTCGACATCCCTCATACTTCGGCTTCTTCTGGTGGGGACTGGGAACGCAGATCATGCTTGGAAACCCGGTTTGCTTCGTGGGCTACACTCTCGTGCTCTGGAAATTCTTTAGTCATCGAATCCGTGGGGAGGAGGAGCTGTTGGTGGAGTTCTTTGAGGATGAGTATCTGGAGTACAGAGCTAGGACGCGGACGTTTATCCCGTTTATCCAGTGATCGGCTCCTGTTCTTCTTGGAGGTGGTGACTTTGTTTTTCTTATTCGAAATTGCCAGCTATTTAGGTAAGGAGTCGACACACAACAACTCTACGGGTGGTATCGTGGGTTCGCTTGTGATGTAAAACTTCAGCGTAATTGGGGGGGGAAGCAATCATGTCATAGAATGGGCGGAGGAAGGGATGATGAGAACCCTTTTTGTACTGTACACGAATGATTATAGTGCCTAACATTTGGGAGATGTTTCTATTCATTTGTGACATGGAGCGATCACCCACGGCTCCCCAACACTTCTGCAAACAATTGCTCCCAGACTCTAAACCTCTCGGTCGCCCGGTGCACACACTCAATCACCTCTGCAACCTGCCCAATTCCACCTCCCTTCTCGATCCACCCGACCTTCTCCCCCTCGAGAGCACAAACCATAATCCGCTCCTCACAAACCCCTTCCTCGAATTCGTCCGGATCACTCAATATCACCTTCCCGCCCTTCTCCGCACCCAAGTCAATGACTGCGAACGACGCAGTGAATGCCAATCCCCTGACTTCGAGCGGCTTGTATCTCGAGACCTCCGGATAGCAGATAACGCCCTCGGTGTCCTGATCCCAATAGGCTTGCGGTAGTTTTGTAGAGTGGAGAGCGGCGAGGATGGAAGCCCAGGCCGCGTCGAGGACGTTACCATCCAGGGAGATGACGACGACGTCAATGTAGAGCACCCAGTACGCTTTTACCTCCTCGGTGTTGGGATCAAGGATGCGTAGGGGCCGCAATGGGATGAGTTTATTGGCGAGCAGCAAACGGTGCAACCTCGCGGTAACAGCCTGAGCAAAGTCCGTAGGAGGACCTGGGTGGTAATCCCTCGAGCAACCGGTTCCTACTCATAAATTAGTACCATAGATACTCGGCGGCAGATAGATGGATAGGAGGGAACAAACCCATCTCCAAATTAGTAACCACCAAACCCCTCTCCCGAACTTCATCTCCCTCCCCCTCCTCATCCTTCCTCCTGCCGTCCTCCCCGCTCCGCAGGACAACAATCCTACCCCCAGACCCCGCTGTCAGCGATAATACCTCCCCGCGAACACCACAAACCACCGCCGTATCCCCCGTCCGGATGACCGCCGACCCGTGAGCGTGCGAAAGCGAGTTCGTGTGCAGGGAAGGTTTTCGGAAGGCGTCAGAACTGCGACCTGAAGGGCGGGTTGCAGGAGTGGATTGTAAATGCCTTTCCAGGAAGGTCTTTGGCGCGAGTTTTTGGAAGGTTGCAGGTGGGAAGGAGAGAGGACTCGAAGGTGGTGGTGGGGGCACCGTCGTCATTTCGTTGATTGTTGGATGTTGGTTGAATGTTGGTTGGTTGGTGGTACCGGTAGCGGTGTGGAGGGATGCTGAAGATGAGAGCGAGGTATCTGTTTGGCTACCGTCAGCGGGTGACTTTTCTTGTTGTTTCTGGGGTGAGGCTGAAAAGGTTATTTTGACCTCTTGCGGGATGTTCAGAGTTATCCCCCTTTTTTCTTCGTCCATCTTCCCGGGGTCTATGGCGAACTTCCGCTGCAACATATGGCACGATATCATGGCTGAGCTTGGGTGGCTCTAAGGGTTGGGCCTGTCGGTATTACGGCAAGTTATGTTCCCTCGATAAATAATATTATGCGGAGCAGACGGTACCAGCAAGGTACCCGAGTGGACCCTTTTCCGCAGCGCTGAATCCTCCAAATTAATGATGAAAGACTACGGAAGGTGGTCTCTGGATGCCAGCAAAGCTACGACATCCTGAAGGAAATACCGGTACGGCCCAGCATGGGGCCCTGGGCACTACACGGCGCCCACGATATCACATATGGCAATGCACCTGGGGTGGGCTGGATTTATCCGGTCTTGACCCCCACTGCTCTTCCGGAAGTGTTAGCAATGAGTTTCCTTGGTTTGAGATTGAGCGCCTGTTGGATGGCCACCGGTAGGAACAAGAGAGAGAAGGGGAACACAGGGTGGCTGCAGATTTGTTTCGACTTACCCGTGCATTGCAGCTATCCTCGAGGCCCCAGTTGGTGCCTAGTGAAGATATTTATAGCAGGCCTCAGTGGTGTAACACCCTTTCTGCTATGGGAGATATGATGATATTACAATTTGGTTTTCACTTGAAATTAATGGAAGGCAAGAAAACCTAGACTCAATCTACACTATTACACATGGACGAGCGTCCAGCCCATGATGGTAGTATGAGTAAGAGTATCTATGGGCCCCCTTTAGTTACCGGTGACTCATTCAAGCATGAAGGGAATCGATAGTATGATGACTCTTTACAGGCGTTGGAATGTAAAGAGGGAGAGGGGAGGAAAAGAAAGAAAGAAAGAAAGAAAGAAAAAATAGTAAAAGTGTTATGACTACTTCTTTGCTGCGGCCTCCCGTTTCCTTTGCAGGTACCTTTCCTTCGCCGACTGGACATCCACACTAGTCTTCCTCGACTTTGCCTGTCGTTCCAACTCTGCCCTCGACTCCTCCTCTTCTTCTAAGGCCCTCTTCTGGGCCTGGACCATTTGGTCTTCCAACATCTTGCTCTGTCTGGCTCTGAGGTCTTGCTGTAGCTTGTTCTTTGACTGGTAACCCGGTTGCTGCCTTGTTCCAGGGGAACGGCTTGCCCCTGAGCTCGGCTTGGACGATTTGGCAGCTCCCAAGTTTAGACCTCCGGAAAGCAGTTGGGTCTTGTCGACTACTTGGCCTTCCTCGTTGATCTCCACTGACGCACCCTTGGCTTTGAGCTCCGCAGCGATCTCCACGTCAGACTTCCCCTTTGGTGTGGACCTATCTTCGAGTTCGGGCTTCGGATCTTTAGATGTTGAGGCGGCTACTATTTCGTCGTGTTTTCTTTCGGTTCTGTTGAGCATGTTACGATAGAAGGTGGACATTCCCTGTGATTTTTTGCGCATCCCCTCTGGTGGGTCGGTCAACATAGCCACGGGCAGAGAGGGGTGGGGGGGGGGGCGAAGATAGTAATGCACGTACCTTCTCGTAACCGTTCCTCTTCCTCTAATCTTCGCATTTCCTCCTGCTGTTTCTTGTAAGCTCCCGTCACGAAGCTCTCCTTATCCGCGTACTCCTCTCCCTCGGCTTCCCTCTCCTTCTGAAGTAACTTCTCCTTTGCCCGTAACTGATCCCGCTTCCGTACCTCTGCCGCCAGAAGCAGGTTCTCCATATACTTTGGTTTTCGTTCCAAGGCATCTGCTTCTTCCGCTTTTTGCTTTTTCCGGTCCACGCTTTTCATGTCATCCCAGGCACCATCGTAATCATAAACCGATGGATCCACCTGAATCTCCGCCTCCCTCGCCGTTGCCTCGGCTTTCCTCGATAACTCGTTGAAGGTGGATAGCTGCGCGTTCACCATCAACTTATCCCTTCCGGTGGCAATCTTCTTGGCGGCACCCTTTCCCCCGTCCAGCACGTTTTTCTTCACCCCTCCAAAGACGGAACCTCCTTCCTCCCCATCCTCCTCTCCGTCGCCGTCGATTACACCACTGTCGGGCGCGAAGCCGAACACGGGCTTCTTTGGCTTAGGGGGGGCGGTTGGTTTTCTGGGCCTGGAGGAAAGGTTTAGTCCAAATGTAAGACCATTACCGCTCATCGTAGGGGTCGATCGGGGTTTATGACGGGATGGGAGTAACGGACGGGAGGGATAAACGGAAACAGGGGAGCTCCGGTGACTAAATACTTTTCTGTTGTCTGCAGTGTCTGAGTCGAGCGAGTCCTGGTACCGTATGTTATTTGTGTCACGTGGTTGGGGGGTTTACAGCGTTGGAATGATGGACAGGCGGAGGAGGCTACAGCAGTAACTGAGGGTTGAAAGAAAGTCGCGCGGCTCAGAGACAGGACCGGGGAGACTGCCTGAGAAAAACTTAAAAAGGGCCACCCTCTGCCCCACCTCCATAACTCTCGCCCCCCCCACCACTACCACCACCACACAACTCGCCAATCTACTCCACTAAACACAACCACACCCCTGCTTTTCTGACCTATCGATAAAAGCTTGTTTGGCTCCAAACATCTTGGGTGGTGCTTTATTCTTCGGACTCTGTCCCATTTGTCGCCTCCACCTCCCCTCCCCACCCACCACCGTATCCACTCCCGCTGCGTCGACTGCGGTACCTGCGCGCGCCTAAATACTCTCAAACCCGTTCCTGCATACCTTCTCCCCGAAAAACTCCGTCTGCCCCTACGCTCCCCTCCCCCATACTGCCTTTCTACCGCGGCGATGCCTTCAAGGCCCTCTTCAGTCCCGTCCATCCCGGGCATAAAGGCGGGACATGACCTCGCTCAGATGCTGCGCGCCGAGATCGCGGAGATGCTCGGAAGGGGGAGGAACCTAACCTTTCCCGGTATTCCCCACATCCGACCCGCCCCTACTACATCGATTGCTTCCCCCTAAGAGGGATTATGTTGATTATTAGTAGGCGCTCAACCCATTTCCTTTGCCCGCAAGCACCTTGACGAACTCAAGTGCGAAGAGTAAGTTCTTCACCCTCTCCCGTCCCCCGACGGATGCTGCAGGTTTAGCTAGCGCGACTTGAGCTATATCGTCCGGGCCTTAAAAGGGCTCGTCCGGAGCCACCTGACTGACTTATTGTTGTTAGCTATTACCTTTGCGAGAAATCGGACGGTATACGTTGTCTACTTTATTTCACCTATGATGGTGACCGTGAGGCCCATTACCTAATTGACCGAAAAAATGATTACTACTTTGTCCCCTATCTACACTTCCCCATGCCCGATGACCCCACCTTCCGGGGATTCCATCGAGAGACTTTGGTTGACGGAGAGTTGGTCTTGGACGATGTCGGTGGACCGAGACCGTTGTTGAGATACCTGATCTTCGATTGCTTAATACTTGACAAGAAGCACGTGATGAATAGGACCCTGGACAAGAGACTTGCTGTGCGAGGCCCGGATCTCTTCTAGCAAAATCCGTACTAACCCTTGGCAGTATTTCCGCGAATACGTCTACAACCCTTATGAAAACCTCATCCAGAAATTTCCACAGGTGCTGGATGATTTTCCCTTCCAGTTAGTACCAACCGCCCCCTTGTCAAGCCCAACCGCCTCCATTATTTATCCGTGTAGATCGCTGATGGGGTTGGCCATGGTAGGGTCGCAATCAAGAAAATGGAATTCTCGTACGCCATTCACATGATGTTCCAGGATGTCTTGCCGAATCTACCTCACGGGAATGACGGCCTCATTTTCACTTGCCGAACATCGCCGTATAGATTTGGCACAGATCAGAACATGTAAGCTGTATGTTTCCACCTGGAGGTGGTGGGGCTAATTGATATCCTTCAGCTTAAAGTGGAAACCAGCAGAGGAAAATTCAATCGACTTCCGACTGAACCTCGAGTTCCCCCTCATCTCTCGGGAGGACCTCGAAGGCGACGATGAAGACGAATCCGATACGGACTCGATGGCGCCTGATTATGATGCGATGCCCAAGTTCAATCTTTCAGTCTTCATGGGTGAGGGGAGGTACGAGAAATGGGCGGAGATGTACGTCACACCCCTGGAGTGGGACGAGTTTAAGAGCATGGGAAAACCTCTCGACGAGGAAATCGTTGAGTGCGCAATGGACGACCAGGGCAGATGGAGGTTCTTGAGGTTGAGGACGGATAAAAAGGAGGGCAATCACATTTCGACCGTTAACAGCGTCATCGAGAGCATCCGTGATGGGGTAGGTAAGGAGGATTTGATGGCCGCTGCCAAAGAGATACGAGCTGCCTGGAAAGCTAGACTTCCCGGGCAGCAGCACTAGGAGTAGCTTTTCCTTCCGAGTCATTGATTGTTTGTCAAGGAGTGGGATTCAGCATTTGCTTTCGTTCGTTCCGGTGTTTAGGATCAGGCCTTTTGTTTGCTGTTATGGTTGGGTGTCCTGTAAGGTATCGTACGGCAATCGGGTATTTTCGCTATGGACGGTCTTATTACGATAAATCATGGGGCGGGAATTTGCGTGCGGATCTGTTCTGGGGCGGCGGCGATGGCTCTTTTTCTTGTTTTTTTTTTTTTTTTTTTGACATTTCATTTCCATAGACAAACTCAGCTTGGGATGGCATGGACGCCAAATTGGCCTCTTCCAAGCTGGAGGGGAGAAAAAAAGTGCACGGGGGGAAAGACGGCCCCCCATATAACCTGGTACTGTGCAGTACGGCAATGCTAGCCGTGATTATCAGCGGGGCGAGGAGCCCAGGCTCAGGTATTCACGAGGTCTGTCCGAAAGCGGGACATGGCGCATTGTTATCATATGTGGTGATGCCGTGCAACTCATCTCTCTTCTCCCCCTCTCCAGGTCTGACATACGGTACGGGTACGGTAACAGTACAGTACTGTACGAGTACTCGAGAACAGGCAATGCCTTACTCCATCCAAGCGCACGAGCAACACTGGTAACGATACGGAAATTTGCAACACATCCAAGACCCGAACTGGCAGGGACTAGCCTAAACCCTGCATCTTGCAGAACTCCCCTGCCGATCTGCAGGAATCCCTGAAGAAAGGGCAAAAGTCACGGGAACCAAAAAAGGCCCACTTCACTCCCGATATAAATTCAGCCCCTCGTCCCCATCCTCACCCCGTGTTCATCTTGCACCGGGTCAGAGAGGGAGGCCAAAAATGTCAAAAGCAACACTCGGCCTAATCGCCGCTGCCTCGGCCGCGACCGGAGCCGCCGCAGCGGCAATCTACTGCTCCACCCTAAGCAAACAGAAGGCCGCACCACCCGCTATCCCAACAACGAAAGGGATTCCGGTAACCCCGGGCAGTGGTGTGCCACCGTTGATAGGCGCTACAAACGCCTCGGTGAAGGCAGCACAGTCGCAGAGACCGGTTGATCCTTCGGGGCTGTTCCAGTACGGGTTCCCCGGACCCGTGAATGATCTTGCAACGAGGGCGGCCCTGGTCTCGTCTTTCGACCGCAGGACGAGAAATCCAATTTGGGTCGCTGAGCACATCACCCCCGAGTCTCTGGCTGCTAAAGAGGGGGATCGGAATCGGAGCAAGTTTGTGGAGGATCATGATGGTAGGCCGCGTGATTCGGGGATGGGGGAGGAGGTGGATGGCAGGACTGATAAAGTGGGAGGGCAGTCCCGGAGAAGTTTAGAGCTAGATTGAGTGATTATAGGGGAAGTGGGTATGATCGTGGGCACCAGGTATCTCTCTATATCTGTAGAGGTCACTAGTGCCGTCTAATTGTTACGCTTCAGGTCCCCGCCGCAGACGCAAAGTTCAGCCAGGAGGCCATGGACGATACTTTCTTCCTGACAAACATGTGTCCGCAAGTCGGTGCGGGATTCAACCGTGACTGTAAGACCCCGAACCCGCATCTGCCTATTTACCATCCTGCATGCAAACCTAATGCAAACCAGACTGGGCCCATTTTGAGGACTTCTGCCGTCGCCTAACCTCAAAATACCCCTCCGTCCGAATAGTGACCGGGCCCCTCTACCTCCCCCGCCGCGACTCGGACGGCAAGTACCACGTCTCCTACGAGGTCATCGGTAACCCCCCTAATGTGGCCGTCCCCACACACTTCTACAAAGTCATCCTTGCGGAAGACGGTGTTGTTGGGGGAACCGTTGCTGTTGGAGCCTTTGTTCTGCCGAACGCTGTTATCGATAACAGCACAAAATTGGAGGAGTTTTCGGTGCCGCTTAGCATAGTGGAGAGGGCGTCGGGTGTGGAGTTCTTGACGAAGCTACCAGCGAATCGGAGGAAGGAGCTGTGTAAGGAGATCCAGTGCTCCATTGTTGCGGGGGAATTTGATAATGCTAGGAAAAATGCTACTGGAGTGCCGGCCCCGGGGAGGGGGTAGAGGACCAAGTGGGTGGGTGGGTTGGGGCGGATGGGCACAATTAATTACTTTTTCCCCAGGAGTGCCAAACCCAGAGGACAAAGTGATACTGCTATTACCATGTCTATTTCTCAAAGTGTTCCTAACGGGATGGGATATAATATACAACAAGCCCAAGAGCTATTGAATATTCCGCCCAACACGGAGCGCAGACGCTCCATAAGCCAACCCATTCCCAATACAAACGAATTCAAAGCTTTATTTGCGTTTACATGTCTCCATCTACCCCATCTCCCGCCCCTAATTATCTTTCGGATCGGACTTAATCCTAGAAATATAGGCTTGGGACACAGCGTTCCAGGCCTGCATATACTTCTGCATGCAAGCCGTCAAGCAAACCTACCGCAATATTAACCACTACCCCATCCGCTCCTTCACCCGCCAGCGGGAAGGGGGAGCATACACTTTCCCCGGAAGATAAACTCCTTCCCGGCTTAGGAACACACTTTTCGAAGCACTTTTCGTTAATTTTCTATTCACCATTAGCTCCGCAGCCGACCCTTTATGGTGATGGCAATGGGACGGGTACTTCGATCAGGGTGCGGGCGTTTTCGATGTTTGATTGTTGGGCAATCGTTGACATTAATGCCTAATAACACAGTTATTTCCCGAGGAGTTGGAAGGGTCATAATAATAGGAAGGGGAGGTAAAAAAAAAAAACCTGCTTGCGCTCCTCCTTCGTAGAATTAGTGCCAAGGCCGAGCATATTCCCAATGTTATCCATTTCGTTCGAGTGGCCTTGGAAGGAGATCCGATCTGTAGTTGGGTTGGTGGGGTGGGGAGGGGAGGGCTGCTCGAACTCGAAGAGTAGGGAGACGAGGTGTGCGGAAAATTCACTCGTAGAGTATATGAGGCTCCCCGACCTTTCCTTTCCCCGAGACCTTGCAACGACGATCAGATGCAATTTAGGATGCTCTCGTGGCGCTAGCACAGGAGAAAATCATAATACAAGTATGATAATAATAATATTATTATGATATCCAACCCTGCATACCGAATTTTACTTTGCAAATGCGAATTCCCCATCCCAGCCCTTAATTAGTTCAGCGGCAACCCACCCAATCCCGGCCCAACTCCGCCAAAACCTCTTGGCAACCTTCACGAAAGCTGTCCACAAGAAACGCTAGCTCAACCGTACTCGTACTACTTTCAATCCACACCTCCCCCTTCGCCGAACCTCCACGAAAACAAACAAACGACTCAAACCCACCATCACCGCAACACAGAGCGGTCCACTATCTAGAGGAAGTATAACAAAAGCATGAAGTGGAGCTTTTGCTCAATATTCACTACTTTAGCGCTGGTGCGCGAGGGATTGGGGGAGAGTCCTGCGGATAATGATGTCAAGACAGTGCCGTTGAGGACCCATAGTTTGTTCCAGGTATGCTCCCATCTCTAGAGGGAAAGGGTGAGGAGTGGGGCTGATCAGGAGATGGTGAGGGGGGCAGCCGTACTTGGACACGGAGTTGCAGAGTCGGTGGTTTGATTGGGGGGGTGATACTATTATTCGGGCAGACCAGTTGAGTTTTCCCCTTCTCCGCCCGGGGGAGGGGATCTGGTACTAATACTACTGGTGGGTGGGATAGGTACATCCGCCTAACCTCAGATAGACAGCAGCAGGCCGGATGGCTGTGGTCGAGGCTGCCGCTCACGGCCACGAATTGGGAGGTAAGAAATTCTTCCGCCCACCGCCACCACCGCCGCCCGTCTTAAGGGGAGGAGCGTGTTAACGGGATTGTGGGGAGGGTTTGTAGATCGAAGTCGAGTTCAAGATTCATGGACAAGGAAATCTTTACGGTGACGGGATGGCTATGTGGGTTACCAAACAGAGGGCTGTGCAGGGTCCTGTGTTTGGAGCTGCAGACAAATTCGAGGGGCTCGGAGTATTTTTTGATACTTATAAGAACAATCGCCCCGGGGTTATCTTTCCGTACGTTATGGCTATGCTTGGTAGGTTTGCTATACGACAATGCGGGTGGGACCCGGGGGTTTTCTGACAGCGGATGTAGGGGATGGGCAGACCGTGTACCAGCACGGAAATGATGGGAAGGAGAACGAACTGGCTGGGTGTTCGGTTGGTTCTTGAATCCTATGCCGGGTTGCCGACGGCATACTGACCAGACCCGATGAGCGCAGGCTAGGGGGATCAGAGGCGCACCAATCACTACAAAGGCCCGATTAACCTACTTTCAGGAAAACTACCTCCAACTCGATCTCCAATACAAGAACGAAGATAAATGGATCCTCTGCTTCAATGTCCCCAACGTCACACTCCCACAGATCACATACCTCGGTTTTACGGCGGAGACAGGTGAACTCAGCGGTAATGTCCCATCCTTCCTCCCCTCGGCGATATGGTCTGCTAATGTGCACCCAGACAACCACGACATCATAACCGTGTCCTCAAAGAACCTGTACCAGGTTAACACTGGCAGCAGCGGCAGCAGTGGCAGCAGCAGCAAGCGCCCCGACAAGGCCGGTAAGGCGGCTACGTGGAAGCCAAGCGATGGGGGAGGAAGTGAGATTGAGTCTAGCGCTGGATGGGGTTGGTTCTTTTTGAAGATGATCATTTTCATAGTTGTGATCATTGGTGGATATGTGGGGTACACGGCATACAGGGCACAGACTAGGGGCTCGCGGTTTTAGACGGACTCTCTCCCTCTCGTTCTATCTCTGTTTTCCTTGCTAGGCACCGATCGAAATGTCATAACTGGCACAGCGAGTCGCATTCCCGCTCTTATTCTATTCCCTTCTCTGTTTTCTCTTCTTCTTCCTCATCTTGCTCGGATCGCTCTTGTGCCGGAACACCAAATTGAACGTAAAAGAGTTGAAAGCACAGCCCTTCTCACTATATCGTTCCACCCTTCGTATCGCCCCGTATTCCCCTTTTCCTGTTTTCCCTACTCTCTCGGCTCGCTCTGCTATTCTTTGGGGTGCTCGGCCTGCCCGTATTATCGGTCTACCGGTACCCCCCCTCGCGGTGTCCAACCGAGTGATTCCACATGACTACCATAATGCCCCCCTGGGTTAGGTATGATAAGTTTGCAAGAACCGAGGTGGGGAGCGACTTTGGCCACCCCCCAGAGCGCCAGAAATCAGTCCAAACCCGGAACCCGGTATCCTACCCATTGCAGCGCATGGGATCTCGCTCGCCCATCATATCCCGCCCCAATCGAGACCCTCCATCGCATCGAGCGAGCGAGAGGGGGGGGCCTGTATGGTGGCGGAGTGGAGGTGATGGATCAAGATGCGCTCGCAGGATGCAGAACGCAGGGTGGCTCATGTGAGGGATTTTCCATATATATGGGATTGTGTTGATCTTCAGGTGCATTGCTGTTGCGGCGGGGGTGGGGTTGTATGATAATAAGATGGTCGTGGCCATGCGCGGTGGGGTGGCTTCGGAAGCGCCCTGCGCCGTCTAACGTTTTCTACGGCATCATGGACACGGATCCAGTACCAGCCTCGGTATCATCAGACAGCACCGCGCCACATATAGCACAGTATCTACTACTGACCCACGGTACCGTGCTCCACCGCACCCGCCCGGTGAGAACCCGGGGGGCTATATTGTGGGTAGTGACCATACTCCAGCGGTAACCTATCATACGTGCTCGAGTATGGTAAACTTGAAGCAGATATTTAGATCACGAGAAAGCTTCCTCCGAGGCCGGAGCTTGCGACTGCAAGGTCCCGCTGCACCCCATCCGTGAAGTGCTGTGGCACGCCTACCATAGACCACTCGTACCGTACCCGTACCTTACCGTATCCACCAAGGAGGCAAAGAAGCCCATCTCCCGCCTCGCCCGCGCACACATCCGCCCACCCCCACGGATCACGGACCCTAGGCTCACTCACGCACCGAGTGACCACACGTGACCCCCCCGATTCCTTCCAATACGGTAACGGACAAAGTAATATGATACCCATCCAGGTTCGCGCCCACAGACCGTCGCCCATTCTATTCACCCATCCGGGCACCCACTTGCCTCACTTCAGCTCACCTCTCCTTGCCTTTCCTCTCCTCACTCCAATAATCTATTTTACCTTACCTTCCTCTCCCACTCACCGCTAACCGTTATGGCGCTAGTTTGGCGGGTGACAGGCCAAGCTTACTAACAGAAAAAAAAAACTACCCACCAAGGTACCCACCGCTGTTCTCTTCTTTGCAGAGAGGAGAAACACATTGACGTTTTCTTTTATCATAACTTGACCGCGAGGCCCCCCCCTACTCGAGCAGAGGGGGGATTAAAGGGGGGGTGTGGGAGCGAAGGGGTTGCTCTTGCTATAAATTTGAAAGCGTGGCCCGGATCTAACCCTCAGAACCCCCCACCCCTCTCTCCCTCTTTCGCCGCATGTCGTTGTTCCCGGCAGTGGATAATAACATTATATAATAACTACAGTGGTAATACCGATAATTGTTTTTTCTAACGCGCGGGGTTCGATACCGGTACTGTACAAGTACGGTACAGTACCAGCCAGCTAACCGCTTCATCTCATTGTGCGTTGAGCGGTTGGTTTGGATCGAATCGGGCTTTTTTCTCTCTCTCTCAATCTTCTTTCTCGTTCCCTTTATCCTCGGACGCCTACCGTAGTCCCTTGTCGATCTGCAGAGGATTTGCGGTGAGTCTGGGTCTCCGAGGCTGCCGGCACTGTCCCATGTTCTCTTTGGTTTGGAATTTAAAGTGAGTGGGTTCCCCACGATTTGATTTGGGTTACCGGTAGCTTCCCTGGCCCCACCCCACCCCCCACTACCACCCGGCAGGCGTACCATATCATATTCAACCGTTTCCCCGCCCTTTCTTATCCCTTTCCCTTGTTTTTCTTGTTTTGCCCCTGCGTGTGTGGGGGGGTGGGGAGGAACGCAACCAGCTGGTACTGCACAGCATCCCAACATCACGCACGAGGGCGAGGGGGAAACAAAGTGGTGACGACCTAACTTACCTGCCTCCCTGATAAGTTACTTGACGGGGCGACAAAACAAACATTCGAAGGAAAACAATACGAAAGGAGCGGTGGTGGTTTTTTGATTTTTTTTTTCGGTTCGAGTCTGCTTTCCCGCCTTCCCTACACGGCGAGGATATCGTACAAGTAGAAGGTTACGGGTAGCCGCGTAGAGTATTTTGGGAAACGAACGGAGGGAAGAAAAAGAAGCGGAGGTGAAGAAACGAAGCAAGGAGGGAAACCCTCCTCTTGCTTAAACCAGCTCTGTTCTGTCCCGTCCGCACACTCGGATCTTCAGCGCCTCTTGACCCCCCACTATTTCTTTTTCCCTGCAAAGAGACAAGAACGAGAAAAATTCCTATTCCCCGCGTTCATATCACTCGTCACTTCCATCGCGAGATTCTGCTTCCGCAGCAATACCGACAGAATGGATCAGAGAGGCTGGATATTAGCCTGTGCCAGCGGGGCAGCTTGCGGTATTTCCCTCCTTCAATTCATCCTATTGTCCATACTAACATTATGACAGTGCTCGGGTCCACCATAATATGTCTGGACGCCCTCCTCCGCCACCTCCCATTCCGGCGGTTCCAAAACTTCTCCATAAGGGAGAGCAGCACGTTCCTTGCGGCCTCCCTCTCCCTCTCCTTTGGTGTAATGTTCTTCAGTGCACTCTATGGTATGCTACCGAAATCAAGGGAATACCTGCTCACCTCCGGCCACACCCCCATGACTGCGAACGCTGTCCTTATGACAGCATTCTTGAGCGGCGTGGGCGGGTTGCAAATAGTCTCAGAGTTGCTGCACTATTGCCTGCCGTCTTCGATCGTTAATTGTGATGAGCACGGGAGGGTCAACACGCGGGGGAGGGGCCGGAGAAGGGGTAGAAACGAAGGGAGGGGCGGAATGGACGAGAGAGCGCCCTTGTTGGGACGCCAGGATAGCGTCGTTCGCAAGATCTCAGCGTCCGTATCCAATCTGGTCCGCGGGTGCGTGGGCGGTGCGGAGGGGAAATGCTACGGCTTCTCCGACCATGACTGCGAGCAGAAATGTGCTGGGGAGAGGGTTGCCATTCCGGGGTCTAGCGGGAGCCCGCTCCCCTCCCATGGAGACGGCGAAGAGGTCTCGATAAATAGGGACTTGGAAAGAGGCTACCGAAGCAACTCGCATGAAGCTGCGCCTATCCACCACGAACCCCATCACCACCACCACCACCACCACCACCACCACGGCCACCCACATTCACACTCCAGGCCAAGTCGCAGTCGCTCTGCCATCTCAGCTACCATACTTACAGCTGGGGATGTAGACCCATCAGCACCCGGCCACCACCACGTTGCGGATAATCAGTTCCTAAGCATAGGTGTGCAAACCTCAATAGCCATTGCAATTCACAAAATCCCTGAGGTACTAAAATACCCCTCCTCCCCCTCCCATCCTTCATACTAACATTGGTGAAAGGGCTTCATAACATACACAACCAACCACGCAAATCCAACCCTCGCCCTTCCCCTCTTCCTAGCAATCTTTATCCATAATATAACCGAGGGTTTCGCCATGTCTTTACCACTCTACCTCGCTTTAAAATCACGCACATATGCCATCCTCTGGGCCTCGCTCCTCGGCGGCCTCTCGCAGCCGCTGGGCGCCGGAATCGCGGCGCTCGGCCTACTCCACGGCGGTGGCAAGGTCGCGGGGCACGAGTGGGGGTATGGCGTCCTCTTCGCCGTCACGAGCGGGATTATGTGCTCTGTTGGGCTGCAGTTGTTCTCGCAGGCCGTTGGATTGCACCATGGTGGGCGTGTGCCGTTTGTTTGGGGGTTTTTGGGCATGGGGATTGTCGGGGCCAGTTTTGGGGTTTCTAATTAATTTCCCACTGGTGGTGGGTAGGGTGATGGGAGAAGGGGAGTGTATGATAGAAGTGGTGCAGTCCCTAGTAAAAGGCCTTCATCATAATATGATACTGCCATTTTTATTTTCATTTTTCGCTCTCTCCCGGCTTTCTTTTCGTTTTGGTTTGGGCTCATCTGGCTTTATTCGTGGAGGCCACCTGTTTTCTTGCTAGCACTTTTCTTCTCTCCCCCTTTGGACACGGTACTTGCTCTGAGATCTCTTCCCCTTCCTCATTATTCCCATTCCATATCCACCTTGTCGCAAATCAACCATACACACCACACTACCAGTCAATGCCTCAGACACTAGGAAATCAGGTTGGATCAAATCAACCGGAACTTGACTTAAGCTATGGTCCGCGCGTGCATGCGCCCAATACTGAGTACTTGCGCCACACTCGTAATTGCACAGCAGTGCAGTACGATACGGTAGGCACTCTGGATCCAAGATGGGATAGTTATGGAGCCAGGTTGATTCCGAGCTCCAAGCGATACAGTAGATACTGTAACGGGGCCAGTTGGAGGAGGATACTCTAGTGTCATAGCACAGTTCCGGTACTCGAGCACCCGCACGGTGTATACCACGTTGTAGATAGTAGTACAAGTACAGTGCTAGTACGATACTAGAACAGTACAGTACAACAACAAACACGAAACCAACCACCCCCCCTCCTTCATGACAATCTTGCAACATCGTAGTTTGAGCCTGTGAATAGTCAGTCAGGTCGTCGGTCATGGGCGGGAGGACGGGCGCTGATATGATATCAATCATATCGCGGTTTAATTGGGTGGCGCATTGCGGAGGGAGGAATCGAATGTTTGTCGTTTCTGTTTCCTTCCTTCCTTTCTTGTTCCCGTTCTGTCATACTATAGCCTGTTATACAAGTGCAGTACTAGTACTTGCAGTCTTTTCTCGAGGATTGGTTGTTCATTCCCAGCGTGGAGGAGGAATATGAGAGGGGGAGGGAGGGGTAGAGATCTCCAACAATGTGCAGTGCAGTAGAACAGCCCAAGAAAGCGAGGAAAGCAGGGCAGTCAATTCTACGCGGTGAGATCTTTTTTGTGAAAGTCGTGAGATATCCTTCCCCTACTTCTCCCCTTACGAGTACTTCTCTTCTAATGCAGTTGTAACTGCACTACTACACGACAGGATACTGTACATGTATGATACTATACCAGCTCCTTCTCAAGGCACCGTTTCATCTAGACTACACGGATCATGCTTCTCGCTTCCCGACCACACACTCGCACTCGCACTGAGGCCTCCCCCTTTCCCCCGCATACAGACATGATGCGGAAATGGAATAGATGACACAACCCTCTAATCCAATTCAGCCCCACATACACAGCAAAACAGAGACGAAAAAGTGAAATGAAATTTCCCCTCAAACGCCCAGTAACATATATGAAAATCCCCCCCCCCCCCAAAAAAAAAGACCCGGGACAAGACATGGCTAAAGTTTAAATGTCCTCGAAGCATCCCCAAACTTCGCCTGCCAGGTAAAGTAATAAATCAACGCAGCAAAAGGTTGCCCAACCAGACAAAAGCTAATCCTATATGATATCACCAGCCATCGTCAGTCGCGGGGTCCACGTAAGAACGTAAATTGAAAGGAGTGGGAGTGAAAAAGCATACCAAAAAATTGCATTCCCAATGATACTCCCCTGCCCCCTCATTCTCTCCAAGGGAACGGTAACTGCGATAAGTGGAATCTGGAAAATCATCCCCGCGAACGCGACACCAATGATGTTATGCGTGGGCACACCAACGAGTAATTCATGGAGTATCGCGCTGAAGGTGAAGACAATGATGCTGGCGCTCTGATTGGACCATCCACGCCCGAGAAGTGGTGTATAGATGTGGCGACGCATAAAGTGGTTTACGGGTTTGTTCCACGTCTGATGAGAAAAAAAGGTCAGCTCGAAATTATTATTTTCCCCCTCCGAACGATAGACGTGATAGGCGTACCTTCCAATACGTGCCAACCGAGCAGGAGTTCCACCAACTAGATATTTTTGCGGAGCAGGGTTAATATATATGCATGCCGCCGCGATGCAAGGAACAAGCAAGTAAGGGTTTGCGGAAGTGAGACATACTCGGTATAAAATTCCCGATCACCAAATCGTAACAATTCGGCCAGGGCGTTCAATCCACTCTGGAAAAGTGCAAAGAAACCCGCCAACCAGATTATTAGGCTGATCGTGCTCAGCTTCATCAAGCGCTCCAAAATCACGGCCACGTCGAGCTTCCCCATAGCTGCCACGCTGTTCTGCAATACCGGTACGGCGTACTGCGCACTGAGGAACCAGATAGCGATCGACAGAGCGATTGTCTCCCCGACACGCTTGAGAAAGAAGGGCCAACGGAAGGTCGGCGAGCGCGGGTACACCGGCTGATAGACAAGTGTCGGCGCCCACCAGAAGTAGCAAAGATTACGAAGCGTAATGTTCTGAGGATATGGGCAGCTCTTGTAGATCCCTGGAGTGGGAGCGCCCTCCAGAAATGCGTCCCGGAGGTCACGGTTTGTCAGTGCATACGATAGCTGCTTTAACCAGACAATGACTGTTCACAGTATCAGTCCGGACCATGCCTTCTTAAAACGCCACTACCGGAAATGTGGACGCAGCGCGGAGAGCAACCCACCAGCGTGAAATTCACAAAAAGTCCCAATCAACGGATGATGGATTCTGTAATAAACCACCCAATTGGCGGCGCCGAGACTCAGCGTCGCGTTAACCACATGGGCCAGAGCAATAATCCGCCAGTAGCTCTGCAGCTTTGGGTTTCTATTGTCCGACTTTTTGTTCTTTGCCTGGTCCCCGCGAGAGGTGTATGCGGCAATAAGCTCAATCAGGAAACCAACAAATAGATGGGCGGGAATCAAGCAGTAGAGAAGACAAAACATCTTCAAGTCATCTCTCCGGAACTCGGCTCCAGAGATGTGCACAAGCACGCCATATTTCACGTAATTCTCAATCACGAGCCGCAAGTTACCCACAACTAGTCACGCATCGCATTCATTCGTAAGCCCAATTGCGCTCGTAAAAGGTTGCAGACGGGCGAAGGATCTCGGGAAAAGCCTACTCAGAACCAGAACCATCAAATTGCGGAATCCAATGAAGGAAGGGGTGTCGGCAGAGTCATGAGACAGCGTGGACGTCCTGGGGATCGAATGCACCACAAACACATGTTTGTACTTGTTGTCGCATTCTGGTGGGTCCCCCGATTTCTTCTGGGTCCCGTGATCCCCATTCAGCCGGGAGATTATCTCGTGCGGAGATTGTAGCGGGGGAGCAGGCGGTGTTGTAGATGGAAATGCAGAATGCCTGGTTTGGGGCCCGGGGTAGGATCCGAAGTGAGTGCGACTGAGACGGAAGTGGATGTGGATGTAGACGTTGCGGATAAGGACGTCATCCTGATGTTTCACCGGACAGGCGGCACAGATGGCCAATGAATAGTTGTGGCGAAGAGACGTATCAATTAGGGAATGGGGAGAGAGAGGGGAGATATTTTGGAAATGGAGGAGCGATAGCGAGCGCGATGCTGGAGAAAGATCGGAGGAAGGAAGCGGAGCGAGAGAAAGGGCGAGAGAGCGAGAAGTAGAAGGATAGGGGGAGAAAGAAAGGACAATTACTCGGAATATCTAAGAGGGCAAGGAGAAAAGGCCAAGAAGGAATTGTGAAGGCGGCGAGTGTACATGTAGAGGGGAAGTGAATGAGAGTTGAGAGGGGAAAGAAGGGATGGGTCGAGCAAGTGGAGAAGGATTGGGGGGGGGGTCCAAAATGGAATAAATAAAAGCCCCACGAATGGGAATGTGAGTCCGGAGAAGAACAGATCTTTCGCCTACACAGTACTCGAGTACTTGTACAATAAATCCATCGTTGAATTCATGGAATACTGTAAGGCGTCCATACCTCACTAGTATCCAAGAATTGAGTTGGGAATGAACGAATCGCCGTATCCAAGGGCAGACTGCTCCCGCGGCGAGTTTTCCCGGGTGGTGGTTCCTTTTTCCAAGATGCGCCTCATTTCTAGGAATCCCACAGGTAAATTTATCGTAGCATCAGTAAGCCCATGAGAGAAAAGAGATAAACAAATATTAAAAAAAAAAAAAGAGGAAAAGCTTTTAACCCCCCTCAGAAACTTCCTGATTGCATAGATACTGCTGAAGTTAGAGAAAACGCATTCGCGAAAAATTTACAGTATCCAGATCTTTTCCCCACCTCCGAATCACAGCCGGAAGATCACAAAAGTCGGCCATATGATACAACGTCCAAGCCAGGCCCACCTTACCGATACCACAGGAACATAGGGGAATGGAGGAAATCAAACACAGCCGAAGTTCCCCCTGCGGGCATGTGGCACGTCGACTGGACAAGAGACGACTCTCCTTCTCTCTTAGGGACATGCACATACCCACCCGTAGGTTGTGCTACACACAAGCGCATAGGTCTCCGTGAGCAAAACCATCACTCGAAACCAAGAGTGCACAAATAAGTCCACCAACGCTGGTTCCCTATCGCACGTTATCGTCTCCCGCATAAAGTGAAGAAAGGTCATCACCTATCAAGCGGGAGGAGGTAGCGGTGGGATGGGGGGAGAGAAAGAGCTCTGAGGTCCCGCTCCGTTTGCAATTGTCGCAAGCGCCGGGATCTAGCCAACCAGCTTATCGGAGTCTCCGAGCTACTGTTTCGGGTGATGGCTCATGAAGATGCCGACCCTATCATGCCCGAGGCACTGCTCGAGCAGACATCGCAGCTGCATTCTCCAACCGGGGCCGCTGAACGGGGAATTACCGGGGGGAGGACTATCGAGGCACAGTACCGGTACTGTACCGTACTGTACCGTACTCGTGTGATTGCAGAGTGATGTCGTGCTTGTACAAGTAAAAGTCATGATTACCCAAAGAGACCTAGCGACCCACTCCCTTAATGCATCCATAGGGTACGGCGCTGGAGCCGTTCTCCTCGAGCACAATCCCAACAGGAGCATCTTTCAGGATATGATCCTTGAGAATCGACCCATTGAAAGAACCGAGTCCAAGAAGCTCCTCGACGAGATGGAAACCCTCCAACAATACTGCTGACAGCTCCCGCCAAGGCCATACTATGCAAGCCCGCTATTGAGTGATAATCAGTGATCAACTGCCGCTCGAATGTCGAGATATGCTGTGTATTTAAAGAACATGTCAGTATACCACCAGCATTTTCGAATCGAAGAACTATAAGTTTCTCGAGTACTGCACCGCACTGTGAGCAGCGCTATCTCCACCGGTCCTGAAGGCCCGCAATTCTCACTCAACACTCAGTCAATCGTAGCCAGAGCACCAATGGAGTACTCACCCGCTGTATCCAAGGGAATTCAGTAGAGACATTGCGGTGGTCTTCACAAGAGGGTAGGGATAGACTACCGTATTAACTTGAATAAGAGCAACACATCTCGGGACGTCTGACTTGCCTATTTTGGTAGGGACGGGAGAAAATACCAGCAAAATAAAACCACGCGTTACCAAGAGGGGAAACCTAGACGTCCCGAGCGGTGTTGCTCTTATTCAAGTTCATACGGTACACTGTACAGCGTGATTTTAACCTTGTGGAGTATCTGTTTACTGTACAAGGCCTCTAAATGTAATTGCTTTTACCCTATTTCTATTTCATTAGTGGGCTTGAACTCAGCAAGTTAATGTTAGGGGCGCTCAGGTCCCTCCTTTCCTAGTCCTATTAGAGAGCCCTTTCGATGGTCCATTCATTGAAAGGACCACCGAACGATAGGAAAAAAAAAACCCTGCGTAGGATAGTTATCACAGTACCGGTAGATACCAGTGGTGAAAGATATTTTGTTGGCTAACCCTTTTAGGTGCAGTGTGTTCCCCCAAAGCGTGCACCAGCAATACTACTCGTACCGGTAGTCTGATCCGCACGGCAAAAGGGCCGCTGGCCAACAGACGGGATCGAGCAAAAGGAACAAATTTACTCGGTTTGCAACACCCGGAAAGACCGAGGAGGGGCTAACCCAGGAGCCCCTGATCACCATGACCTCCTCTATTGCCTAAGGTAGGAACGGAAGCTATAGATCAGTCCTTCACTATCGTTTAAATAATTGTGCCAGGGGGGGGGGATTGTATTATATCTATCCAAGAAGAGGTTATCCCTTCACGATAGGCTCAATGCGAAGCAGGGCATGGCAGGATGGTAAAAGAATGGGTGATGGATGATCGATCACAGCCAAAGACACAGTGGGAGATATATATCTCCAAACAACTAACACAGTGACCAGTGTAGTGTAGACTGTTCCATCTCAACATCGTACCGTGCTCTATGGTACTTCATTGCCACCGCAACAAAGTGAAAATGTCCCCTACCAGCAACCCCACATCACTCGTACCGCACCAAAAACCCAACCCGCCCCCCCCCCCCCCAACCCCCACCCCTA